GATCCCTCCCACGGGACCTGCTCCGTCCATCTCCTTCACCATCCTCTCCGTAAACCCTTCTGTTCTAGAGACTAACCTAAAGCAAGGACCAATTTCTGAACCTTGAAGCCACTGTTCCTCCCCCTGTTGACCGGCCACCAAATTCGCCTCCAGAGAAAGAATCCGTTCATCCCCGACCGTTCGATCCTTCAGTGTTAATCCCTCCTTACACCACAAACCAGCACCGGTACTCTACCAAAGGAAGAACCGGGGATGATGTTGATCTTTAAAATTTTGGTGGTCAGAACCCCTTTCCTCTCCAATGGCTTTTTGGTGGTGGTGGTGGTGATGATGATGATGATAGTCAGCAAAGATGGTGGTGGGATGGAAAAACCGGAGGATGATGGGAGGCCGAGAGGAGAAGAAGAGTCTCGGTTTTTATTTTTTTTTCGGCTGCCCAACCTCCGTATCGAGAGGCTGTTCTTCTTTCAAAATATCAGACGTTAGGGTTTTTTGACTGAGGACTTGGGCCAGGTTCGTCAATTTGGTGGGCTGGCAGGCTTTTTACATCCTTTTGGATTAGGACCAGGCCTAATATTTGTACATCTCAAGCATATAGGCTCCTGCGACACAATATTTAGATATAATTAAAATAATGTCATTTAAAGCTAAACTTTGAGATATCGCACTCATCTTCAGAAATTTATAAATGGAGGGTTGACTTCCCGTCAACGACATTATAATTGTTTTTCCTTTCACTGTGTCTTTCTCTAGTTTATTTTCATTTTCCTTTTGGTCTTGATGTGTAAAATCATTCTAAAGCAGATCTACATGATCATCTGCATGTTAAGAGAATCTCAGAGGCAGATCGAGAGGAAGCAATCAACAACACATGCTTAGTTAGTTACAAACTCTGTAAGTATTCACTTCCATCTACCTGTCTACCTTCTCCTTTTTTTTTTGTTTGGTGTGATGATTTTTTAGTATTGGTTATGGTACAAGGTGTACAACGTATGATCTGAGCTTGCATCCTTCTCCAGTGGTATTGCATCATCTTGGTGAAACCCATACTCTATTTCAAAGAGTATAGATTTACATAATTTATTCTCAAGTAATCAGTGGAATTTACTATCTGACATTGAAGAAGCTATATATCTCAACTAGGTAGGTAAGAGTTTTCCTTTCTTCTTAGATTGCGTTCTATTTTCATTTTTTAAAATTTTTTACGTTGGATGTTAGGTTATATGTATTTTTTTATTTTTTTAATTGTTTTAAAAATTTTTAAATATAAGACATTTAAATTAAAAATTTCAAGTTTAATTTTAACTAATTAACTCTCCTTGGATTTTTTTTTAACTACAAAAATATAGGCTAATTACAAAAACATTAATTTATCAAAAATTTTAAATTTTTATTTCTTTCTAAACAAATTTTTGTGATTTCTTTCTTGACCAATTGCCCAGTGGAGGAAATATTCTAATAGCATCCTTATCTATTAAAGATTAATAATTTCTTTGGTGTTTGGACCTTTCAACGTATCATTTTTAGAAAACCAAAAATTATGTACATGCGAACCCGTAAGTTCTCATCTTTGAAAATAAAAATTAGTGAATTTTTTTTTTAGAAAAGTGGGTCCGATAATAACGGTCAGAATATTATTATGGTTACAAATATTTTATTTTTTATTTTATTAAATTTTTTTCACTTAATTTAAGAATATATATATATCTTTTTAATTTTATGTTCATTATTTTCGTCTTAAGTGAATCTTTATAAGAGGCAAACCAGAAATTAGTGGTCTTTTATATATGGACCTACTAAACCAATAAAAAATAAAAAAATAAAAAAATAAAAAATAAAAAGCTGGCTGGCAGAAATAAATTTGATCATGCTTATCGCTGTTCCACACAAATTAAATTTATTTATTTGTTTTGGAAAAACATATATTCATGAACTCTCTAAATTTTGAGACATTGCACTGATCTTCAGAAATTTTTAGATGGAGGGTTGACTTCACGTCAACGACATTATAATTGTTTTACCTTTTATTGTACTTTTCTATAGTTAATTTTCATTTTTCTTTTGATCTTGATATATAAAATCATTCTAAAGCAGATCTACATGAGCTACAGCTACTGCATACTCAGAGAACATCTCAAAACCAGATCAAGAGTAAGCAATCAACAACACAAGCTTAGTTACAAACTCTGTAAGTATTTACTTCCATCCCCCTGTCTACCTTATTCTTCTTTTCTTTTCTTTTTATTTTGGATGATTTTGCAGTGTTGGTTTTAAGTGTACAACTTATGATATGAGCTTGCATTCTTCTCCAGATATTGCATCATCTTGGTGAAATCCACACTCTGCTCCCAAAAGTAGAGATTTACATTTATTATTTCAAAACAATCAGTGGAATTTGCTATCTGATATTGAAGAAACTATATATCTCACTTCTCAACTTGGTATGTAAGACCTTCCCTTAATTTCTTCCTAGATTGCTTTCTTTTTTTTCTTTTTCTATTTTCTAACATCAGGTACTAGGTTGTTGACATTTTTTCTTTTTTCAAATTCCCTTTTAAACATATTAAATATTCAAACTTAAAACCTTCAAACTAAAAATATAAAATTTAATTTTAACTAATTAATTCTCCTTGAGGCACTTACCCTTGTTGGCTGATTAGCTGGTAGTTAGTTTTAAAAGGGCATTTTCATCAATATAATGCTGGTTTAGATTCTCCATCCCTTAAAATTTGTACTTATAGGCAAGTTTAGTTACTATTTTTTTTTTAAAAAAAATTTAAGTTGCATAAGAGAAGAATATCCTCCAGGTCTCTCCTATCCCTTAACTCTCTTCTGTCATATATTATGTCATTTAAATTCAAAACCTTTTATTTACATAGTTTTTCATTTAGCTACTAGCTAATGTTTTATATATATATATACTGTAGTAAATAAATACTCCGTTCATTTTTTCGAGACAATATATAGCTCTCTAGACGTGACATCTCAAATCTGAATTGTAGCTTGAAAATTGGTTTGAATGTAAATTAGAAGTTCTTTGTACTTTTAAGTAGTAAATGTCTAAATTTCAGTTTAGCAAAATACTTCAGATTTTGCTCATGGTTGCTGACATCTCATACTGTTTTGAAATAAATTTACACCTGAACTTCTTCTCAAAAAGAATTTGAAACTAATGAACACTTCAAGTTAAAAGTTTGCGAGGGTAAGTGCTGCAGTTCAAGAACTAGCGAGCTAAAAATCTTAATAGCTCTACAATTTAAAATTTTAGAACTAATAACTCAAGTAAAAGCAAAGGCATTTGGCTTTGACAATCTCTAAAATCTATCTAAGAAAGTTCAAGACACTCCATTACACACAAGTTCAAGAGTCTTTGAAGCTCATAAGTTGCCAAAATGTTCCTTTACAGCAACTTTAACCGTTTACAAAAATCATTGATATCATATACATCACAGGTTCATGACACAAAATCAGTGAGCTAGGACTAGCTTTTGGGATTAGTTTAAATTGTCTTACCAAGGTTAGCTCTAGGCTTTCACTTGGACTAGTAGATGCTTCCGAGGCTCCTAAAAATATGTATGCTGCTTCTAGTTGCTTTTACCTGTAACAATGCAAAGCTCAGTAAGAATTTCAATAAAATAATTTGGGTAAACTAGTGCTACATATACCAACAATACTTTGAACTTAATGTAGGAAAGTAGCATTTTTGCCCCAAAGGGTGCAGAATCAGTTCCATCAATGCTTGCTAGCACTGAACATTTAATTAAGTTAGGGATTCATTCACCCTCGACAAAATTACAAATATATAAAGTTTCACATAAGTAATAAGCAAAGTAAATTTTAGCATGAATTTATCTATATGTCCATGAACAAATCTATATGGAGCTCATTCTGTGAGTGTACATCTCACTAAGTCTATGGACCAGCCTAGGCATCCTTCTGCACAAAGGTCTAACAACTCACATCAACCTAGTTAACTTTAGGGGCCCTTTCCCTAGCCATTAACATCGGTCTTTACCATAAATTCAATTCAAATACAGCATGTTTTATGATGCTTACTCAATACATGAATCAATTCTCCTTCATAAAGAGCTTACATAAACATATAGACAAGCAAGATTAAATAACTGCATAACTAACATAGCTTCTCATTTCACATATATGCTTGCAGATTTTCAACCTAAAAATCATTTACCACAGAGTTTCAGCACACAAGACAACCAGAAGGGACAAACTTCAGGTAATTTTCCCTTTGCATGTAAATCAATGGAACTCATAGATTAAATAACTGTGAGTGTAAATCTAAGGGAATTGCAGCATGAATTTATGTTTCCATATGTCCATGAACAAATCTGTGGAACTCATTCTGTGAGTAAATCTCACTAAGTCTACGGGCCAACCTAGACATCCTTCTGTGCAAAGGTCTAACAACCCAAATTAGCCTAGTTAACTTTAGG